AGAGAGAGAGAGAGAGAGAGAGAGAGAGAGAGAGAGAGAGAGAGAGAGAGAGAGAGTAATTGAAAATACTTGATCAAATAAAAGAGTAATAAGTAATAATTAACAGAAAGTTTATTCAATACAATTGAACAATAACCCAACAATGACTACCTGATAATTTGCATCCACATTTACGTAAGTATAATCACATTCTAAATATTAAGAAGGGTAAATTACAACTAACCCCGGAGGTATGGTTAAATTACCAAAAATCCCCTCTTATTTGGATAATTACATCTACCCTTCAACTATGAATCTTCTTTACATATTCACCCTTATGGTGTCAAATTCAACATAATCATCTAGATTATATTCCGTGGAATGTGCTCTAGTCTGTACTCGTTTTGTATAAAAATACAGTTTCTGATGTACTACAATCTGATATATACAAGCCAAAAAACACATCTTATGATCATCTTGCTTAAAAATGTGGAGCTCGAATGGGATAAAGCGGGTACAAAAGTTATAATATTCCATATAATAAAAAAGATTCCACTAAATTCGAAACCACAAAGGTGGGCGTGTAAGAAAATTTATAGCATGCATGATACGTGTGTTGCACGTTATAAGGTTAAATAAAAAAATAAAATAAAAAATATCCTTCTTCACTCTATCAAAATCAAAGTTTGGGATATCTAATTCATCATCAGTTAAAAGATATTCATGGTTAATTCATTGCAAATTTTAATAGAATATATATTTGAAATAAAAAAGTAATCTTTAATTAAAGCTTCAGCTGTTGAAACTCGTGGATGGTGAGCATCCAGTCATCATGTGACATCCCCGCTGGACAGGTGGCAGAAGAAGAAGTACCAGATATTTGATTCCCAAAGATTCAATACCGGTTCGATAAGAATGACATGCGTCGTCGTGTTTGCTGACGAAACGTTCCAATTTAGAAACAATTTGTCCGAAATAGTCACGCAGTGGAGAGTTGTACGCCCAGCCCCACATCCACGTTACGTAGTGCTTGACCGACCGCATCTGCATCATCTCTACATACACTTGTTCATATTGACTATCCACCCGTTTAATTCTCTCCAGTAACTCGGGCGAGCTTCCACATGCGACCCTCATTTGGAGCGGCGGCGATATCCGCGTCGGAGGCAGAGGGAACCGGTTGGCTATGGCGGAGATTGCTTGTGGGCCTAGGTAACTAGTCATCTTCGATTTAATCGTGTCCAATGCGTCTCGGCATGCGCTGAGGTACTGCTCTAACATAGAGATGACTAATGGGTTGGGTGTTTTCATCTTCCGATCTTCCTGAATTAATATAAAATTTCATCAACTATAAAATGTGTACATTCTATTATACCTTCTGATTAAATAAGTTAGAAATAAAAGAAAATATCTGAAATTGTGTAAAGTCTATTCCCTGAAAAAAAAATCCGTGAAAAATCATGGTGTAAGACGAAAACAAATATCAGGGGTTTTTTGATAATTACAAATAGGTGATGGTGTTTTTTGTGTTTTTTGTTATTTACTCTAAGTTGGGGGGGGGGGGGGGGGGGGGGGGGGTAATTTACCCAAATAGTGAAGCAAATTCAATTGAGAAGAAGAACAAGGATGTATCAAAAACCAAATATAACACAAAATACAACAACACACCTACGTCGCCAAAATCTTTCGTTATTCGATCATATCAAAACGCAAAAAGAATCATAGGAAAATTAACCGATGACAGAATACCGAAAACAATTACCAAACAATCTTCATCGGTTATAATTATTACGTATTCACCTTGTTCAATTATCTTTTAGATCAAAGAAGAAACGTGAGAAAGAAATTCCAGCCAAAAAATATATATTGAGAGAGAGTTTGCTATTTATACTATCAAAAATAGTAGAGTTTAGTTTATATATATAAAGAGTTTACTTCCGCTATTTAAAACGTTCCATCTTGTTTAAGTATCAAATAGGAAATAAAGATAAAAAAAAAGGGAAATAAATCCATGATATTGTTTGAGTACGATTTAATTATATAAACCCTAATTATATCATATATTGTAATAAAATATTGGATAGTTAATTACATAAATTATATTTAATTATATGAACTTTTGGAAACTAAAACTGCAATGGAAAATTTGAATTTCCATTATTTCATTTTCATATATCTAATTTCAGTTTTGATTAGAAATTATCGAACAAAAAAATTAAAATAAAATAAAATTAAAATAAAAAAAAAAAGAAGAAGAAGAAAATAGCTAGTAACTAGTAATGGGAGGAAAGTGACTCAAAATTGATTGAATGAAAGAAACAAGGTAAATTACGGCTACCCCTGAGGTAAGGTTTACGAAAAAACCCCTCATTTGTGGGTAATTACTACCACCCCGGCCTAACCTATTAATCTTCTTTCAAGTCCACCATTTGGTGTCAAATTCAACGGAGTCTTTTCGACTACATGGAATATTCTCTAGTATGTACCCGTTTTGTGCTAAAATGCAGTTTTTGATGCACCACAATGTGATATTTACAAGTCAAGAGACACATCTTATGATTATCTTGTTTCAAAATGTAGAACTCGAATGGGATAAAACGGGTACAAATTGGAGAATATTCCACATAATCTAGAAGATTCCACTAAATTTGACACTTACATGGTGGACGTGCAAGAAGATTCATCGTTGAGGGGAGTGATTGTAATTACCTAAATAAGATGGGTTTTTTTTTTCGTAATTTGACATGATCTCAGGGGTTGGCCGTAATTTACCCAAAGAAAAAGGAAAATAAACGACACATTACTCATAGAACGGCGTAAAAGTATTAAAAGTGAAAACAAAAAAAAGAAGGAATATAAATATGTGTCTCTACGAAAATTACTCTGAGAGCGCCTTTACACGAAATTTTTATTCTTCTTAAACACCTTCACAACTTTTTAATATTTTCATTACGGCTAATTTTTATCTTTGAAAAGTAGTTTAGAGAAATACCACATCGGCAGGGGTAGAAGCGGCATTGTTTGGAGAATATTTCATGTTTTAAGAGAGATTCCGTGAAAAAATCACACAGTAAAAAAGTCAGCGTAAGACAAAAACAAATATCGGAGGATTTTGGCAAATTATGGATAGGTGGGGATTTTTTGCTTTTCGAGTTCAGGGTCTTTTTCGTAATTTACCTTGAATGGTTTCATATATATTTATATCAAGTCCCTTGGGAAAAAATAGATATTCAAATTGGTCAAAGAGAAAAGCCCATTGGGTCAGAGTGATTGGATCAAAGAGAAGAACAACGATGCATCAAGAAACAAATACATCACAAAATACAACAACACACCTACGTCGCCAAAATCTTTCGTTATTCGATCATATCAAAAACGCAAAAAGAATCATAGGAAAATTAACCCCACGACAGAATACCGAAAACAACTAACAAACAATCTTCATCGGTTATAATTATTACGTGCTCACCTTGTTCGATTATCTTTTAGATCAAAAAAGAAACGTGAGAAAGAAATTCCAACCAAAATATATATATATATATATATATATATATATATATATATATATATATATATATATAGAGAGAGAGAGAGAGAGAGAGAGAGAGAGTTTGCTATTTATACTATAAAAAATAGTAGAGTTTAGTTTATACATATAGAGAGTTTACTTCCGCGATTTAAAACGTTCCATCTTGTTTAAGTATCAAATAGGAAATAAAGTTAAAAAAAAAAGGGAAATAAATCCATGATATTGTTTGACGTACGGTTTAATTACATAAACCCTAATATCATATATTGTAATAAAATATTGGATAGTTAATTACATAAATTATATTTAAATATATGAACTTTTGGAAACTAAAACTGCAATGGAAAATTTGAATTTCCATGATTTCATTTTCATATATCTATTTTCAGTTTTGATTAAAAAATATAGAACAAAAACACTGTAAACAAAATAAAAAATAATAATATAGCTAGTAAGTAGTAACTAGTAGTGGGACGGAAGTGACTCAAAAATCAAAATTGATTGAATGAAAGAAAAAAAGTTTAAATTACGGCTACCCTAAGGTAAGGTTTACGAAAAAAACCCCTAATGTGTGGCTAATTACAACCACTTCGGCCTTAACTATTAATCTTCTTCCATGTCTATCCTTATGATGTCAAACTTAACAGGATTTTTTAGATTTTGTTGAATATTCTCTAGTGTGTACCCGCTTTGTGCAAAAATGCAGTTTTTGATGCATCACAATATAATACTTATAAGCCAAGAGAAACATTGTATGATTATCTTGTTTCAAAATGTCGAGCTCGAATGGGATAAATCGGTTACAATTTGAAGAATAATCCACATAATCTAGAAGATTCCACTAAATTTGAGACTGGAAGGGTGGACGTGCATTCATAATTGAGGGGTGGTTGTAATTACCTAAATAAGAGGGGTAGTTTCATAATTTGACATTATCTCAGTGGTTGGCCGTAATTTATCCAAATAAAAAGGAAAATAAACGACACGTTACTCATAGAACGGCGTAAAAGCATTAAAAGTGAAAACAAAAAAAAGAAGGAATATAAATATGTGTCTCTACGAAAATTACTGTGAGAGCGCCTTTACACAGAATTTTTATTTTTCTTAAACATCTTCACAACTTTTTAGTATTATCATTACGACTAATTTTTTATCTTTAAAAAGTAGTTTAGAGAAATACCACATCGACAGGGGTAGAAGCGGCATTGTTTGGAGAATATTTCATGTTTTAAGAGAGATTCCGTGAAAAAATCACACAGTAAAAAAGTCAGCGTAAGACAAAAACAAATATAGGAGGATTTTGGCAAATTATGGATAGGTGGGGTTTTTTTGCTTTTCGAGTTCAGGGTCTTTTTCGTAATTTACCTTAAATGGTTTACTATATATTTATCAAGTCCCTTGGGAAAAAATAGATATTCAAATTGGTCAAAGAGAAAAGCCCATTGGGTCAGAGTGATTGGATCAAATAAAAAATAAAAAATAAATAAATCCAACGCTCCAAAACCCGGCGCTAGAAAACTAGCCGTTGCAAAACCGAGCGTCCCAAGCTCAACGTTCTTCTATTTACCCGTCTCCTTCAATCCACACTCCCCCTCTAAACAAAACCCTCAAATCCATGAAATTCAGGATTTTCTCTCTCTAGAAATCCACTCCCCCCAATTTCATTTTCCGGCGACTTCCCCCCCATGGAATCGAGTTTGAAGTTCGTCGGAGGAACCGTCACTCCTACGAAAGAGAAAACCGCCGTTTCGATTCGATCGAAGCCGTACCTGAACAGTTCAGAAAATGTCGATCCCAACACGTCGAGCCCCGGATTGAAGTTCTGCAATTCGCCGCCGATGAGCAGCGCCAAAAAGTCAACTTCCAGGAAGGCTGCTAACCCTAACCAACTGGCGTCTCCTTCACCGAAGAAGAAGATTCGCGAGAGGAAATTCGTGATCGCGAAGAAGAAATCGCGGAAGGAGGAGGTGAATTCTTCTTCTTCTGCCGCCGCCGTGGACTGTGTGAAGTGCAAACAGGCGACCGGGAAATCAAAGTGTCTGTGCGTGGCTTACGAGAAATTGAGGGTTTCTCAGGACGAATTTTTTAAAAATCGCAGTGAAATAGATAACGAAGGTTACTTTGACTACGAAGGGGTAAAAACAGCGACGACGGCAGATCAAAATTGTGGAATAGCCATTGATGAACAGAGTAGTGATGCTTTGTCTGAGAGTGACGAGAGAAACGGCGAATTGAGTCTGAAAAGGAGCAGAGATAGGCTAATGGAAGAGGCGAGAAAGAGCGTGCCTGAGCCAGGATCCGGAAGAGTGAAGCATTTGGTGAAGGCATTCGAGAATCTTCGTATGATACCGAAAACAGGAGATTCTAAAGAAAAAGAGAATAATGAAACAGATGATGATAACAAGGGGATAAAATGGGCATTGCCTGGAATGCATCAGTCGAGTTCATCAGATTTTTTCCTTACGTCGGAGAATTTAGGCCTTGATTCTCGCCATTCTTATTCGTTGGACAGCAATCAAGGAAGGTTAGCTAGAGTTAACAGCTATTATATTTGAATTGTGATTAACTGGATTGTTGTGTGTTTATAATTTGTATTAATTTTGGTCTCATTATCGGAACTTACAGCATTTCAACCAGAACGTGTGATGACCGAAGAAAAAGCAGACGAAGTGTGAGAACTTTTTAACTATACTTATCTTATATCTGAGATGAACTGTTTCTTCGTTTTTGGACGATCTTCTTAACCGTGTTTTTCGATTTTTGCAGAGCACTGAATCTACCGGAACACTGAACAGAAGACATTGGAAGCAGAGGCAGAAGAAGGCAACCTCTCTAAAGCCTTTTATGCTCAGAACAGAGGTGTGCTGTTAGAATTTTGGGATTCTCAATGACTGCATTTTTGTTTCGTTATGAGTATGATTGTGATATAATTCTGGTATCTGTGTGTTTTCATTTGAATGATTGTTACTCATATGTAAATAGAAAAATAACCAGATGATGTCCTTAGATTCTTCTGCACTTTTGGAACAGGGGAAATTATCCATTGGACCCTTGTATTACTGTCAATAATTAAATTTACGAACTAGTGAGTCAAATCACGAGCCTGGAATAATGTACCAATAGGCAATGGTTTAAGGCACAGCGGAGCATCAGTTAGGATGAAGCTATCAGAACTTCTTGTACTAAATAGATCTTTTAACTCTGTGAGATATGTTGTTGTCTTCCGATTGAGAAAGCATTTCATCGTTATACTCATATGGAAAAAAAACGTATCTAGTATTTTTTTCAAGTCTCAGTTAGACCCCTTAATTAATTCTCCAAAAATACGAAATTGTGGTGACTAGCGTCCCGTAACGTAAAGTAGAAATTTTCACTGTGTTATTGCGTGAGCATTAATATCCTTAACAAAGTTCATATTCCCCAATTTGTTGTTCTAATACTCAAGATCCTCCAATCACAAGCGATGAGTTCATTTGCTTTATGTTAATATTGGACTTAAAATCGATGCATGAATCATGATTATCACTTTTTTTACATTAGAGCTAAAATTACCACTGAACCCATTATTTGATGTTTGACTGCCTGTCTATTTCTTGAAATAACACACATTTGGTAATTGGTGCTACGACAGCAAAGAGGAAGATGGAAGGAGGAAGAATTCATGAAGAAGTTGCAACAAATGTTGGAGGAAGAGGAGAAATTGAGAATACCCGTTGCCCAAGGTCTTCCTTGGACAACAGATGAACCTGAGGTAAAATATAGTTACTGAGTTTTTTTCTATCTAGTTTCGGCTCTTTAGCATAACAAACTCTACTTTGGTCAATTTTTTACGCGGTTTATCTCCATTACTTATGCCTGAATAATTTTGCTCAACTGCGGCGGTGACTCTTTTCATGTGCCGTTAATGGGCTATGCTGTCTATTACTATATTACTCTTCTTCACTCTTCAGTGCAAATTTTCAGTGCCATTTCGGTTAGGTTTTTTCATTTATCCTTGAAGAGTCAAATGGTTTCTTATGTTAACATAGTTCTTCAAAATGTATCTGTGAGTGAGTGAGTGAGTGAGTGAGTGAGTGAGTGAGAGTGAGTGAGAGAGGTCATATTGAGTCTGTTTCGTTAATTGATATTAAATTACTGATACAAGTTCATATATTGAGTCCCATTTTTTCATATTTGTTGCATGTCAGTTTCTGGTAAATGTATCTGTGAGTGAGTGAGTGAGTGAGAGTGAGTGAGAGAGGTCATATTGAGTCTGTTTCGTTAATTGATATTAAATGACTGATACAAGTTCTTATATTGAGTCCCATTTTTTCATATTTGTTGCATGTCAGTTTCTGGTAAAGCCTCCAGTTAAAGACAACACAAGGCCAGTCGACCTCCAATTGCACAGTGATATGAGAGCTGTGGAGCGTGCAGAATTCGATCATCAGGTATATACTTTTTTTTTTTTGAATTATTACCCCATTGAAATATATGTCCTAACAAATATACTAAATCCAGGCTCTGAAGTACCTATAAATGCCAAGAATTTCTTGGTCCCGACATTATTGCTTAATGTTGTTTGTTTAACACACCAGGCCAAGAATTTCTTGGTCCCGACATTATTGCTTAATGTTGTTTGTTTAACACACCAGTAACGTGCTAAAAATCACCACTCCTCTTATTAACTTTTGCTGCATCAATTTTTGAAACAAAAATTATAATGTCTTAACAAAATAATTGGTGTAACCAAAGAGAGGGGGAGAGAAAAATGGTGTTCGGAGAGAGAGAGAGAGAGAGAGAGAGAGAGAGAGAGAGAGAGAGAGAGAGAGAGAGAGAGAGAGAGAGAGAGAGAGAGAGAGAGAGAGAGAGAGAGAGAGAGAGAGAGAGATGGTAGGGAAAATGAGGGGGCATAGAAAATTGAGTAAACATAGACGAAAGATTACAAAAGAGGGGAGCGAACATTTCATCATGCATTTTCCTTCCCTTGTTTTCTATTTTCGTTTTCATTTTTTTTGCTTTCATTCTCCGAATTATTTCACCATTTTTCATTGCTTCTATTAAGGTGGCCAAGAAAATGGACCTAATTGAACAGTACCGGATGGAAAGGGAGAGACAGCAGAAGGTAAATTACAACCTGAAAAATTCGGACTCTAATAATACTAACAATCTTGCATTTATTTAAACAAAACGTACATACATTTTTTGGCAGCTAGCAGAAGAAGAAGAAATCAGAAGACTAAGAAAGGATCTCGTTCCAAAGGCTCAACCCATGCCATATTTCGACAGACCATTCATGCCAAGAAGGTCAGTAATAATAAAGCCCTCTTGCTTATTTTGCGTGTACAAACTAAAGCTATTGGATTTATTTCTAAAACTGAAAACCGGGATTATAATTCTCAGTTCTCGTTTCCCAACATGATTTAGCTGTTATAGTGAAAATATAAAAATCTCCGTTTGTATGTGTGTTGTAATCAGGTCTATGAAGAACCCGACTATACCAAAAGAACCGAAATTCCATTTACCTCAACACAAGAAGATCAAGTGTGACATGTCTTTGGATGACGACTTGTACACTCCACTCGAGTGAAACGGCATTGTATATCTCGTTCCATTTACCTAAACGTTTTTTCTTTTTTTTTTTTAGGCCACTTTGTATATCTTGCAATTTTGTTACAAAAAGGAAGAAAGTTTTACTGCTGGCACAATGGTGTGCCATATTAATGAATGGGGATTGAAGTTCAATAAAAGTTACATTATATATTTATCTTATTTTCATTGCGATTCATTTTACTTGTGCTCGTGTTGTTATGCAACTTATTTCCGGCCGGAAAAGGATTGAAAAATCTTAATTCTTAAATATATGATTTCCGGCCGGAAAAGGATTAAAAAATCTTAATTCTTAACTATACGAACCACCACTGTGGGTCTTGATTCCTGACGACGGTTCTTAGCTTCCCGGGACGCGACTATCCCATGTACATGTAAATAATAGCTAATGTTATTGTATTAAAACAAAATGTAACATCTTCAAGACCAAGTTCTATAATATTATTACTTCATAGTTAGAACCTTCTAGAAAAAAGCCTGTATAACTTTTACAACTAAACTATCTTAATTAGTTTCAAAGTATTTAACAATTTACATTGAGAGAACGAATACTTGAAGATTACATTTGAATTTATAATGTCATTAATATTTTCAAGATCAAAAGTTACTATAGTATAAGTATATCCAAATTCCATAACATAAAAGAAATCAAATAACCGAAAACGAGCAGAGGAACAGCCTAAATAAATCACATCAAAATCATAATTCAGTAAATCCAAAATACATTTCTGTAAAACTCAAACATCCAAACTTTAAAAGTCAAAACATGCTGAAACTTTCAACTAAACATCATTCAAATATTTCCCGAGAAAATTCCCAAACAAAAGCTAAACAAAAAAATAAATAAAAATAAATCTATGGTGCAACCACCGCAATTCTTCCAGCAACTTGATCAAGGTCCCTTTGGCCACTCGATGTGATTTTTCTTCCACTGCCAAGAAGCACAGACGTATTAAATAACAGCAAATCGTAAATTAAAAAAACAACATTTTTTTTCTGACGAACGAAAAATAAAAACTCACCCACTGGTATCGAGCTCAACAATGTTCATGTTCTGCAATTGTTGAAGAATGTGACGAGCGACGGAGCCACTGCTCTTGCCAAAATGAGGTGGACGACTTCCGTTCCTCTTGCTTCCTCCATAGATTCTTCGGAAAGCACCGACACCAAGACCTCCCCTCAAGTATATCTTCCTAGCCATGGAAGCTGCAATGAAAATATACGATGAAAAACTCAAATCTCACTTATAACGATGCAATCATAAGACAGTTGAGTGAAGTTAACTTCCGAGATTATTACCAGCCCTGATGTAGTACCAGTCAGGATCATATGGAGCAAGTTCTTTGAGCACTCCGGTTTTCACAATATCCGTCCACTCGGGAAGCTCCATCTATTTTTACGAAGAAACAAAAAGAAACAATAAACAACGTGCAAAGAAATGAGTCAACATATTAAAATACCCACAAATGAATTAAATTGTCTCACACAAAGATATAATCCCACATTGACGATTTACGATGACGAAGTTTTCGAAAATCAGAAATGTTAAGTTAATCGACAACATATTCCTAGAATCTGTTCATATCCAATCATCCAATTAAATAAAATTTGACAGTACTCTATAAAATCAACACTAACTATATGAATTCACACTCTGAAAATTCAAAGAAGAAGTTTTCGAAAATTCGGAAATGTTGAGTTAATTGACAACATATTCCTAGAAACTGTTCATATCCAATCATCCAATTAAACAAAATTTGACACTACTCTATAAAATAATCAACACTAAATACATGAATTCACACTCTGAAAAGTCAAAATATCATCAGACAATCAAACAACATAAATTTCAGAAAACCTAAAAAACAGGCCCAAAGGGTTTATTCTTCTTTTCCCCCCACCTCCAACACAAACTATCCAACATACAACTATGAAATGGTTTCATCTCTGATAAAGTCAACTTCTTTACCCAAAAATAAAATAAAAAAAAAGTAAAATTTGAGAGCACAAGCATAAGAAAATGATCGGCGATTAGATCTTTTACCTTGCCGGAGCGCTTGAGATGGGCGGCGTAGGATTTGACGAAGTCATGAGGAGATACATCCTTGACAGTTTTGGCAGTCGCCGCCATTGTTGAATACCTCTCAATTCACTTCACAACTCGCGATTCTGCTCTGATTAGATTGAGTGTGGCGAAGAAGAAAAGCTGCTCTGGTAATATGAGATGTACGCCCTAGGGTTTTTGTCAAATTAGGGTTATCTGTATCTATTTTTCCAATTGGGCTTTGCGGCCCGATTAGTCAGCCCAAATTAATTCTACGGCCCAATTAATTAATTAGTTAATTAGTCATTATTGGGCCAATTATCTGCGAAATTAAATTAAACTAATTAAAACAATGAAACGACACCGTTTTGGGGTGCTAAACGTGCGTAGTACAAACTTCTTTTTAACTCTGATTTTGTTTCATTTCTCCACTGTACATCCTTTTTTTCCTCCGGCCACACAGGTCCGCAACCCTAATCTCCGCCGTAGCAGAGAGATTCCGCCACCGGTAGCGCCACCGCCGCCGTATCCGTCGCGATGACGATCCGTCATCTATTAAGCCTCACTCGCCGCAGTCGAAGGCCAATCCACGCCTTCGCCTCCCTCCGACCTCTCTCCACCGCCGTCGCCGTCGCACCGGAGGTCTCCCTCCCATCTCCGCCGCAGCCAGATGTCATGATCTACGATCGATTGGCCGAATCCGTCAAAAGGAAGCTCACGAAGCTCGAAGACCCCGACCATCGCTTCCTCCGGTACAACTCCCCTCACCCAACAGTAGATTCGCACACCGAAATCCTCTCCGCCCCACTCACCCGAGTCACGACTCTGCCGAACGGACTCAGAATCGCCACCGAGTCGAATCTCGCATCTCCCACATCCACCGTCGGTGTCTTCATCGACGCCGGTTCGAGGTTCGAGAGCGATGAAACCAATGGCACCGCGCATTTTTTGGAGCATATGATATTTAAGGGGACGGAGAAGAGGAGCGCGAGGGAACTGGAGGAGGAGATTGAGAATATGGGCGGCCATTTGAATGCTTATACTTCTAGGGAGCAGACCACCTACTATGCCAAGGTTGTGAATCAGGATGCGCCCCGTGCATTGGATATCTTATCCGATATTCTGCAGAATTCCAAGTTTGAAGAGAATAGAATCACTCGGGAGAGGGATGTTATTCTTCGGGAGATGGAGGAGGTATTATTGAATTTTCAGTTCTTAATTTTTCTTGATTGATTGATTGTTTTTTGGTGGGTGTTTATTTTGTCTGATGTGTAAAGATTGTAGCTTTGTTGTTGAATCTCCTGGTTCTGTGGCTAAAATTTCTCATTTGTTTTTGTAATGTGTGGCGGTGGGGTGGGGTGGGTTGTTTGATATATGTGTTAGGTATTTGGAGTTCTGTTGCTATTTCTCATGTTTCACGTTGATTCTGATGAAATCTTTCTCTGCCAGTTCTAAGTTGTAGGATATGTTGATTTGTTTGATGTGTAAAGATTGTTGCTTTTTCATTATCTTCTGTGCTACTGGTATAGGTTCAGGGATATCTATTCTTATGCGTTAAGAAAGGGTTTTGTCCTTCTTGATTTATGCTGTGCGGTAAAACGTGGGGTTGTTGGCGGTACTTGATATCTGTGTTAGATATGAGGAGTTTGTCTTTGTTGATATTTCTCAGTTTCACCATTGTTTACGACACCTGTATGCCGCAGTTCTACTTTGTTGGATACATTTATATAGTGTTGCATTTTGCATTTGGTGAATGATGTTGTTTCTTCATTTGATTATTTATTTTCCCAGCATGCGACATACTTCATAGGTTTTTGTAGGATTGGAGTTAAGAGAATGCAAAATATGGGATGCTGTTTGTGATCGGGAGTAGTTACTACAAATGTGCTAGTATAAACCTCCTCTTGACTGCTTAGAAGCTAGATGTATTAGAAAATGGTCAAACTGTGTAATGCTTTTAGATTTCTTTCGGAGTTTATTGACAATACTTGCCTCATTACATACTAAATAAAGTTTTGGTATAAAACACTGGTTATTAAATTGACATATTTTGTTTAACGTGTTTTTTCTGTGTAATTCGATGATTCTTAGCTGTCTAAATCTCGAAATCGTATTGGTTTTTGGTATTAATCCTGCTAGAGAGTTTTTTTTTTGTTTTTTATAACTTAGTTTACTCTAATTGGAAAACCAACTTATGCTGCATTTATTCTCATGATTTTGTTTGCGTTTTTCCTTGCTTTTGATTCATATGCAATACGCTCACCGTGTGTACGTTCTTGACTGATTGTAGGTTGAAGGACAAACAGAAGAAGTTATATTCGATCACCTACACGCCACTGCTTTCCAGTATACACCTCTGGGTAGAACTATTCTTGGGCCTGCTGAAAATATCAAGAAAATCGGCAGAGAAGATATAAAGAACTACATATCAACGCACTACACTGCTCCAAGAACGGTAGCTGAAAAAATAATTAGCCTTTCCTTGTATGATTTTGTTAGACATTGCTAAGCTCTTACCTATTGATTTTGGCTTCTGTTTTAGGTAATTGTCGCCTCTGGTGGTGTTAAGCATGAAGATATTGTTGACCAGGCGACGAAGTTATTTACAAAGTTGTCATCAGATCCAACAACAGCTACTGAGTTAGTTGCTAAAGAACCTGCAATCTTTACAGGCTCAGAGGTATACTTGTCTTGTTTGATCCCTTGGCTTGTACAGTTGTACCCAAGGGCATTATCGTCATTTTTTCTGATATATATATATATATATATTGTGACAATATAGGTTAGGATGCTCGATGACGACATTCCTCTGGCCCAATTTGCTGTTGCTTTCGAGGGTGCTTCCTGGACAGATCCAGATTCCATTGCTTTAATGGTTATGCAGTCCATGTTGGGTTCTTGGAATAAAAATGCTGGCGGTGGAAAGCATATGGGGTGATTGTTTTCAACATTATATTCCGACAATTTATTTTATTTCACTGTACGATTTTTTTAATTGGATTTGGTGTGTAAATTGCAGCTCTGAGCTTGCACAGAGGGTTGGGATTAATGAAATAGCAGAGAGCATGATGGCTTTCAATACCAACTATAAGGACACTGGCTTGTTTGGTGTTTATGCTGTTGCTAAGGTGGCCCCCCCCCTTCTTTTGATAAATACGAGCATGTGAGAACTGTCGGTTTGTTCTTTAAGTCAATTTAATGTTTATTTTGGTGTAATGTTTTCAGCCTGATTGCTTAGACGATTTGGCGTATGCAATTATGTATGAGATAACCAAACTCAGTTATCGAGTATCAGAGGCCGATGTGATTCGTGCTCGTAACCAGGTAATTCATTTGAAACTTGTTACACATTTTGGGAACTACGTATCCGTTTCCAAATAGCATATGTGAGTCATATAAACTTGAGTTAATTATGTAATATGCAACTCAAATATTGTGTTCACTTGCAGTTGAAGTCTTCTCTGCTTCTTCACATCGATGGAACCAGTCCCGTTGCTGAAGATATTGGGCGTCAGGTATGTTTTGCTAAAAAAAGAATAATCAAATAACATAATCGTACAAAATATTTAGTCGATGGGCTGAAAGTAATTTTTTTAACTAGAGTTAGCTTCATCCTTGACACTACTCTAGTCTGTTAACTGAGCTGCATGTTTGAAACAATCTTGAATTAGATTAATGAAAATAGAAACTAAATGTTATCACTATTTTTTCATGATGTCATGGATAATTGTTGGAAAAAATACAGTTTTCATCCCCCAAGTTTGCACCGATTTCAGATTTGGTCCCCCCGTGTTTACATAAAACACATTTGGTCCCTCATGTTTCAAAAGTTCAACACTTTTAATCCTTTCCGTCAAATTTCCGTTAGCACTAACGGAATCAAGCGTGTGCCTTTCACTGACGGACTAACAGTGAATTGACAAAAAGGACCAAAAGTGTTAAATTATTAAAACATGAGGGACCAAATGTGAAATCAGTGCAAACTTGAGGGGTGAAAACTGTAATTTTCCCGATAATTGCTAGTGTTTTTGATGAATGACGATGGATAAAGATTGGATTTTGATATAAGAAAAAGGAGAAGAAAAAATTCTGCCCTTCAAAACCTATACATTTCTAGATGGACGTGTGAATAGTCAAGTTCTTGATATTGAGATTTATCGCCAATGCACAACTCGGATCTTTCCATAACCTTCAAATTAAGATGAATTTTTATTTATATTTACCCATTCAAGAAGTTGAAATAAAATCGGTTGTTTGCTTGTATATTAAAAGCGTATTCCCTTTGTGTTTGCAGCTGCTTACTTATGGTAGAAGGATTCCATACGCTGAACTTATTGCCAGGATCGATGCTGTAGATACCAGCACTGTCAAACGTGTTGCAAATCGTTTCATATTCGACAGAGTAAGATTAAAAAAAAAATTCGAATTTCGTCTCAAAATTGAATTTTAATAATTATCTTTTTATTAATTTCCTTTTCTTTGTTATTTTTTTGCAGGATGTTGCGATTAGTGCTGTGGGCCCCATCCAGGGATTGCCGGACTACAACTGGTTCAGACGCAGGACCTACTGGCTCCGTTACTAGGTTCCTCACTGCATACTATTTTTATTCGGTTATTTTTTCTTCGACTAAATTGTTTTGCTTTCATAAAAATACATCGCCCCATGGGAGCAAATCGGGCGGCGGACTATGTTTTAATTTAATTTTGCCTGCTTGCTTTTTTTTTTTTTTTTTTTTTTTTTTGCTGTTTCGTGTAAAATTTTCTGGCTAGTTTAAATAATCGAAAAATGTAATCAGTCATATTGTATATATGGCGATTATGTACTGAGACGCAATAAACATAACTATTATTCTTTTTGCAGCCTATTCGATAATTTTTGTTGCTTTATCTTCTGCCCCAGTACAAGAATTTAAGTGTACAAACTACAAACAGTGTGCTCTTACATGTAAATGTTTTACATCCGCCTCCTATAAAAGGGTATTAATGTAAGAAATCTAGAAGTTGCAGGAGTGGATGTAATTATGAAAAAACGAGGGGCGTTTTTTTATGAATAAACCTTACCTTAGGGCAGTTGTAATTTATCATTTTCTTTATTATTATTTGATTTTGTTTTGGTTTGTGGGTTGGGATTTCATACCAATTTTTTCGAGCACAAATTTGGTGGTGTTTGCAAAAACTTATTTTAAAGTATAATTTAGTGATTATGAGTTCAGTTGTTTTAACTTTTAAGTGATTATTTCTAGAAGTTGGAGTATGTTTGCAAATACGCTAGAAAAACCAATTTAAAATTGTAAAACCAGGTCAATAGTGCTTTTAAAACTACAACTTATTTTAAGAGATGAAAAAAACACAGCTGATTTTGCAAATATCTGAAAACAAATTATGAGAAAGTTCATAATCTATTTTCAAAAACTTTTTCTAAAGTTGCAATATTGCATGACTCAACAAAATCACACCAATAAAAATAAAAAACCCCACCATGCATGCATTAATCCAACACACACTCTTTCAATGATCAACTACTTAACACAAACACTCCTCTTATTAAACCTCAAAAATCACAAACCAACAATTGCAAAAAGAAAATAAAAAATCGAAATGGCAACCATTGCTCAAACCCTAAACGAAGACGTCGAAATCATCTTCAAAAGCAAATGCCCGCCCGTTCACGTTCCCGACAACGTAACCCTTCCGGAGTTTGTACTTTCCGGTGCGGAGCCCTACCTCGACAAGGTGGCGGTTGTCGACTCCACCACCGGAAAAAGCTACACTTACGGTGAAGTGAAGAGAGACGTCGATAGATTTTCAAAGGCATTGAGATCGCTCGGGCTGAGGAGAGGCAGAGTCGTGGTGGTGCTCCTCCCGAACGTGGCTGAGTACGCCACCATCGCCCTTGGGATAATGGCTGCCGGAGGTGTTTTCTCCGGCGCTAACCCTAGCGGACATTCGTCGGAGATCAAGAAGCAGGTTGAGGCTGCCGATGCTAAGCTCATTGTCACCGATGGATCGACTTATCATAAGGTAAACAAATTCATTTCATTCTTTTGTTTTAAATGCTATAATTCCACACTTGTGAATTATGATTATTTTTTAATTTAATTAATTATTTTTTTTTTTTATTTTTTTTTAATTAGGTGAAAGATTTGGGATTACCGGTTATAATACAAGGGGAAGATTGTGTGGAGGGAACTATAAATTGGGATGAACTTTTGGAGGCAGCTGATAAAGCTAATACTGATCCTATTTATGAAAAAGTGCTGCAAACTGATTTATGTGCACTTCCATTCTCATCAGGTAAAATAAATAAATAAATAAATATATATATATATATATATATATATATATATATATATCTCACATAAAAAAACCAAACTTTATTAGTTTTATTGCATAGTGAATTTAATTGCATGCTTCAATATATTTTCCCACCAAATATTGTACTAGTTATTAAAATTTAGTCGATCGAACTTAATACAGTTAAACCTCTATAAATTAATACAGTCGGGACTAGGGAAATTCTATTAATTTAGCGAATTATTAAATTATTGAGTTAATGATTTAACACATTTTCACCGAGTCGGAACCGAGAGAAACTATTATTTAATCGAGGTTCTACTGTAGTAACACGAGAAAAACGAAAGGGGCTAAATAGTAAATATATTTAACATTTTCTTGATTTTAAGGCACAACGGGGCTGTCGAAGGGGGTGATGCTGACTCATCGGAACTTAGTGGCGAATCTATGCTCAACCCTCTTCAGCGTGGGCCCGGAGTTAATCGGACAGGTCACCATACTCGGTTTGATACCGTTTTTCCACATATACGGGCTCACCGGAATATGCTGCGCCACCATAAAAAACAAGGGGAAGGTGGTGGTGATGCAGCGGTACGAGCTCCGGTTATTCCTCGGCGCACTAATCACTCATGAAGTCACGTTTGCCCCGATAGTACCCCCGATTATATTAGGGTTGGTCAAAAATCCAATAGTTGATGAATTTGATCTAAGTAAGTTGAAACTTAGGTCTATTATGACAGCTGCAGCTCCACTTGCACCCGAAATTCTCAATGAGTTCGAGAAGAAATTCCCCGGAGTTGAAGTCCAAGAGGTAAAAAAAGTCGAACATTTTTCGAAGAAAAATAAATAAAAGAATCTTGAAAAAATATTTAATATTTTTTTGTAAATAATTTGTTAGGCATATGGAATGACAGAACATAGCTGCATTACACTAACACATGGTGATCCAAGCAAAGGGCATTGCATTGCAAAGAGAAATTCAGTTGGATTTATTCTTCCTAATTTGGAAGTTAAATTCGTCGATCCCGAGAAGGGAAATTCGCTTCCCGAAAATACCCCTGGAGAGATTTGTGTTAGGAGCCAATGTGTGATGAATGGTCAGTAATTTTATCTTTGCTCACTCATTTAATTCAAAAAATTATAATTAAAATAATAAATTTTTAATGATGTAATAAAATAAAATCAGGCTACCACAAGAATGAGTATGAGACAAGTCTCACCATAGACAAAGATGGTTGGCTTCACACAGGGGATATCGGTTACATAGACGATGACGGAGATTTATTTCTCGTTGATCGAATTAAAGAACTGATTAAATACAAAGGTTTTCAGGTAATTAGATTTTAATTTTTTTTTTGAGGAAAAATAATCTTGATTATGATTAATAATAATAATAATAATATTTGACAGGTTGCTCCAGCTGAATTGGAGGCAATCCTCTTGACTCATCCTTCAGTTGAAGATGCTGCTGTTGTGGGGTAAATCGAAACCATCTCGTCTTTAAAATTATTTTTCATAAATTAAAATCGGGTCCGAATTTAGATTTTTCGTTTTTTTTTTCCGAAATAATTTAGAATCAGGATTTCCGAAAAAAAAAAAAAGAAAACGATTTTTTTTTTTTTTTATCCGTACTAAGAAAATTTGGAATCGAAATCGACAAAATTGAGAATTATATTATTTTCCGATTTTTCACGGAATTTTGTAGACTACCGGATGAAGAAGCAGGTGAAATACCAGCAGCATGTGTGGTAATAAATTCAAAGGCAAAAGAAAGTGAAGAAGATATAATGGAATATATTTCATCAAATGTTGCAAGCTATAAGAAAGTGAGACTATTGCAATTTGTTGATGTTATTCCCAAATCACCCTCTGGCAAGATTATGAGGAGACTTATCAAGGACAATATGGTCAAAAAGCTTTAACTTTGGTCAACCTTTCTACTAATGGTGATTAATTAATGTTTTTTCTTTTTTTCTTTTCAATTTCATGTTCTCTATATTGTTTGGTTTGTTTTTTGTTTTTATCAAAAATAAACAATAAATATATTTAAATAAATTCAGGGAATTTTGGTATTGTTGTAAAATGACCTATTTATCTAGCTCTTTGGTTTGTGTTTGTGGAAATACATAAGAATGTAAATAACAAGAAAAGAAGAGAAAGAGAGAATGCAAAGAACAACAATCCGTAGAGAGAAAATTGTGGGATCGTTAGGGGAGGGGAGATTCTCATTTATATAGGTGCAAACCACCGAAAGTTACATGGGAGTTACACGTAAGTTATACCCTACATAGATCATGGAGGGAGTTATGGGATAATGAGTAAGTTGAGAATCTCTAGTGGCATAGTGAGGAGTTATAAACTCCAAGTGGCTTAAGATAGGAATAACCACATTATATATTATTTACAACAGGTATGATGGAATTGGAATCTTTAGTTTGAATTGTTGTATTTCAAATGCAATTTTGGTAAAAGAGATGTAATGGCAATTTAGAGATTTAATTGAATCAACGAGCCTACTCGGTGTTAGCGGGACTACACGATTACGTTGAAAAGAAAAGGAAAAACCGACATTATGTGTTTCTTTTTTCGACTTCGCGTGAAATTTAGTGATTGTGAGTTAAGTTGGTCGTAATTGATTATTTTTAAAAATACGAAAGCAAAAAGAAAAGTTAAAGCAAAAACTACTTTTGCAAAAATCTAAAATTAGATTATGAGTGTAAAAAAAGCTCAAAATCTATTTTTAAAAGTTCTTACAAACACCACCTAAGTTAGATAATTTAACTAACTAAACAATCCGATTTCTTGCTCTAATATGCATTTTTTTATGCAATAATAAAATAGCATATTAAAGTTAAGAAATTAATTTGAATGTAAAAGGAAGGCCCTACATGTGTCATGTTAGACAAAACAAGGGAGTCATGGTATATATCAAGGTTGTAAAAAGCGGTAATTGGGTCGGAGGCGGTCAGGGACCGACTCACGATTAATCGGTGCGGCGGTAATTAATCGGTGATAAATCGGAAATAAATCGGTTTTTAAAATTTAATATAATATATTTGTAGATATTATTTATAAATACTCAAAACATAGATAAAAAATATTTAAACATAGTTATATCTCCATCATGTATATATTCTAATAACATAATAAAAGTTTCATAATAATAAGATCATAATACATAATATTCTTATAAAATATAAATAAAAAGGTAATTTTTTTTGAATGTACATACATTCTTGGCATAGATCATTAGTTCTTTAACAATAATAATTAACATAAACAAAATAAAGCATAAACTAATTCTTTTTATTAAAATCCCAACTTTTATTTTGATTTATAAAAAAAATAAAAAAATAAAAAAAATCGATTTTTTGCCACCGAAGTTTGACCCGCCTTAAAGGTTTGACCGCCTCGGACCGCCTCAAACCGCCTCACAGGCAAAAAACCGATTTTTCAAACCTTTACACTAAAATCGTAAAGGTTTTGGACCGCCTCCGCCTCGGCGACCGATTAATCGGCCGCCTCGGCCGATTTTTAGAACACTGGTATATATAAGCATATGCCCCACTTTACATACATCTTCCAAAACTCGAGCTCAAGCTCAATTTTTTTACAATTATTTAATATTTTTTATATTTATTTTTTCATTAAATATATAATATGAACTTATATTTATAACTTAAAAAATAAAATATAAAAATAAAAACAAAAAAGTCAACGAACCAACTAAAAAACGTATGAACAATTAGAAGTGAACTCGATCTCGAAAAATTTGAAATCGAACTCTAGATTCTGTTGAACCAGCTCATCAAACTCGTAAATCTAATCTTCTCAAACTCAATTAACCCACCTAGTGCAATTTAGGGGTGTGCACGGGTCGGTACGGTTCGGTTTTTGCAATAAACCAAACACGTACCGATAATATCGGTTTTTCATATTTTAAAACCGTGTATGTCGTCGGTTTTTTTCGGTTCGGTACTAATCGGTTTTTCGGTTTTCGGTAAATGGTATCGGTATCAATTCGGTTTATTTTTTGTTTCGGTTTTGTTATCGATTTGAATCTCTGTTTTTGTGAAAAGTTATCGGTTCGAATCGGTACCAATGTTTGATTAACGGTGAATTTGGACTTCTATCACATTTCTTTGAGGAAATTAACAAGTAACAATCCAAAATTAACTAATAAAATAAATTTACTGCCATTAAAAAAATTAAGAAAAAACAACCCTACTGCAATAAAAAAACATAATGAGATTACAACCAATAAATCTGATGTCATTAATGTCATGTTCAAAAATATAAACCTGTTGCCCCATCACAAAAGAAGTCTAACTACATCAAAAGATTAAGTATCCCAATGTGGCTACATTGATTACCAAAAAAACTTATCGATTGTATTCCCAAATCAGTTTGGTTCGGTAAATCAGTTCGGCAATTTTTTTTTCCCATACACATACCGATTTTTTCTGTTTTTCAAAAAATATTTACCGTGTATGCGGTTTTAAGTCGGGACAGTTTATATCGGCTCGGTTTTTTCGATTTTCGGTTGGGTTTTTCGGTTTCTCGGTTTTTATGCGCACCCCTAGTGCAATTTGAATCAGTAAAACTGGATTTCGGAGAAAGATATGCATTAATGAATTACATTGTAAATATTAGATAACTGAAAATATCAAAACTGTCAAAACTGTAGGCAGTACTATTCATTCATTTACGCATATGTTTCTCGCCTGACATCCAATATTGCTGATTTAGTTCGATTAGAAAATTAACTCAAAGGACTACAAATTCCGTGTTTAGAGTTTGCCAAATTTATACTAAAAAATCATAAAATCAATACTAGGGTTTCCGATGACTTTGCCTTGGATGGTGGGGTCCGGTGGATGGTGGTGGAGGTAACGAGTGTAACAGTGGCAGTGACAGGCGGCGGCGGCGGGGTGGTGGTGGTGAGCGGCCATTTCCGTTCTGGTCGGAATCTTTGTAGTGTTGATCTAGATTTTGATGGCGATCTAGGGTTTTGAATTTTGATATTGCCGTTTTATTCCAAGTGAGATGGTTTTATTTATTTTACTAACTGAGATTAGATATATCACTTGACACGTCATTTTACCTTAAACCTTATTGTAAATTGCCATCTTTCACTATCCAAATTCGTAATTTGTTATTGGCCCTCTAGGGCTGAAATTTAAAAATGATGATGTTCGGGCTGAAATTTGAAAATGATGATGTCATGTTGGGGAAAATTGAATGATGGTTCAATTGTTTTTGTTTGGGAGGCAAAGTGCACTTAACCCTTAGTTATAAATCACCAATTAAGATTCAATTATTTCCCACAATAATTTTTTTTAAATCTCAAATTAATAAATATTATGATTAACTGAATATATATTAAAAACAATAATCCAAATCTCAAGAGTCAATACATAATACTAATATTACTAATATTTATAAGGCTAATATTCTTTTTTTTTTAGAAATATAAGACTAATATTCATAAATACAAAAAACTACAAATTGTTACTGTTTCCCCAAACTAAAAACTACTACTGTTACTTTTCCCCCGTATGTGGGAGATGAATCGCCCACCCCTTGGATAGGGGTGCTCCACTTGTGGGTCGTACACCCACGAGCACGGGGTGCAACTAACCACCTAGGGGCAATCGAAGTACCCCGGGGACACCTATTTGTACAGCGGATCCAGAAAAAGGTGGAACATTGGGTTTGGGCGGCATCTACGGCAATAGTCGATTAGGTTGACCCTGCGCCATCGGAATGATTGATGTCAGGTCGGCCCTGAAGCGCAACGGGACAATCGGACTGAACTCCCACACTGAGTGGAAACTCGGTGGCACGGGCACCCACGTGCAAAGCTAAAAAACGACAATTAAATTGAAACGGATGGAGTATATATATATATATATATATATATATATATATTATAATCTAAAACTTAACTTATATCAATCTATTGCATACTATTACTATATATCAATCTATAAATTCTATAGTCTAATATACATATAATATCAGCATATATCAATATGAATAGAGGAGATAATATGTGATACTAATATTAATATACAATCAATAATAGTATATACCTATCTATATATTAAATTATTAATATTAATGTATGATGACGCTAGAGTTATATCAACTTAGAAAATTGAAGTAGGATGAGGTGGAAGAGCAAAGTGGATCATTGGCTCACGAGCTTGATGACCTTGAGATGCATGCGATCATAGAACACGTAAATTTGAAGAGTTATTTAGATTATATTAGTAAAATATTATTTTATTTTATTTTAGTATACTATTATAATATAAAATATTCATCTTCTATGCAAAGATTTGTTTTATAAAACGGAAATATGTGCGAACAATTGTTTTTATAATAATAATAATAATAATAATGATGATGATGATGATGATATAATAATAATAATAATAATAATAATAATAATAATAATAATAATAATAATAATAATAATAATAATAATAATAATAATAATAATAATAATAATAATAATAATAATAATAATAATAATAATAATGATGATGATGATGATGATGATGATCATGATCATAATAATCATGATGATGATGATGATGATGATGATGATGATGATGATGATGATGATGATGATGATGATGATGATGATGATGATAATAATAATAATAATAATAATAATAATAATAATAATAATAATAATAATAATAATAATAATAATAATAATAATAATAATAATAATAATAATAATAATAATGTTATAGAGAATTCATTAAAAGTCGAGAAGGAGAAAGAGCTTGGTGTTGGGTTAAACACGGCCATGAACCGGCCCGGCCCGTTGACCGGTGAATCGGTATCGGAACCGTGAACCGGCCCGTGTCCCTCGGGATGGAGCCGGTTATGGAATTATGTGAACCGTGAACCACCGGGACAGCCCGACGGTTCACCCGAATTTGAAAAAAAAAAAAAAAAAAAAGCTGAAAAAAGCTGAACCGGCCGTTATTTGCTTTTTTTTTTTGTACCCCACATTTTTTGCGATATATATACTCACACCCCATTTTTTCCTATAAA